ACTTATACCCGTTATCTCGGCTTGGGTCCAAGTAAAGACGTTGACATTTTAGCGTAAGTATCATGTCAGACTTCTCAGTGCCGCCTAATGACACCTTTATTAAAAAATATCTTTCCTTGTCTTAGGGATTTAGAAAAACTTTGACCAGGGCCTCGGTGGATCGATCGGCTGGTTCTGTAATGATGTTGTCCACACCAGGGCGACCGAATTGTGATTGCTATTTAGCCACCACCGCCTCGGGATCACGCTCTTGAGCTCGACTACTAACCCCAGTCTTTATTGTGGCATAAAAATAGCTTTTTGATGCTTCCTAATTGCCACGAATCTCCATTACAACCCTCAGAGTGGAGAACTTAATCTTTTGATGATAGTATGAGTGTATGCCTTTATTGTGTTCAACCATGTCCTACTCATGATGATATTATACGGTAAATTAGAGTCTATCACTACGAATTCTATTGGGATGGTAACGACCTCGACACTAACCACGAGAGTGATCTTCCTGAGGGGAAGGGCTCAAGAACTGTTGAAACCTATGAGGGGGTCCTTATCGGCTCCAGGTCTTTTTGGGTGAAACCCATTTTGCGAAAGAGATTGTCGTACGTAACTTTGAATAAGCTGCCCGAGTCAACCAAGATCCTCTTGACATCAAAATTGTCGACTCAAAGGGTGATTACCAAAGTGTCTTCATGTAGGGGTACTAACTCGTCCAGGTCGGCATCAAAAAAGTGGATGATCTCGACATCAGTCCATGACCTTTAGATGACTATTCTTCACACCTGTTCTCCACTTTCACTGTTTGTGAGACCCTCTGGATGTCGGCTAGAAGGGAATTATACGCCGGTCTCTCGACCGTGCAAGCGTGTATGATTTTGATCACAGTTGTTACTTCCTGAGGTGTGTCGACTCCTCCTCCCACTAAGTCTCTAGGAGGTTTCCTTTCAATGAACTCCTGTCTTGGACCAATTGCTAGAGAAATGACTTGTACACCCTACTTCCTTCAGTCAAATGCCTTATAACCCTATGATAAGAACACTGAGACGTCGAGTCTCTCATTGATGGGTCTCTTTGCATCTTGGGGGGCCATTTAAAGAAAGACCCCATTTTTATCTTATGCAACATCTTATAGATGGGCTCTTTGAAAACTGTGTTCACTCCTTGGAAGGACAAGTGGCTTGGAGCTGGGGTGGGTGCCGCTCTCCTTGCAGGTGCTTCCTTCTCCCTTTTTCTTGACGCTGGGGACCTATTCTTAGGCATTGTAGACTCTTCTTCCACCCTGGCGTACTTGTTTATCCGAGCCATCATGTCCTTAATTTATTTTAGGGTTCTCTTAGTGAGTGACCTATATAGGTCGGTGCCTTGGGATAATTCTAAGCGAAATGTTGCTGCCGCCATGACCTTTGAGCATGCACCAATCTCGTTAACTTCATCATAGTATCTGATTGCGTACTACCGAAGGGACTATGTGTCGATGTCTTTCGACCTCTTGTTACTGGTAATGAATTGAGCTACAAAGAGCTTGGTCATTTGCTTCCAAGATTTGATACTTTATGGGGCCAAGTTTTCATACCATTTCATTATAGTGTCCCCCAAGCTCATGGGAAAAACTCGGCATAATAGTCTTTGATCAGTGTCATAAATGGACATCAGCTGCTTGTAATATCAAAAATGGCTCTCGGGATCTATCCTCCCATCATAAATATTGAATTAGGGGACAGTGAACTTCTTTGACATTTTGGTCTCCCAGATTGTCCACACGAACAGGGAGATGATTTGATCGTCCTCGTCTTCATCCCTCTCGGGGTGGGGTCTTCAGCGCTTTGCATCCAAGCGCACTCGGAGATCTTCTTGGGGCTCACTTTTCCAGGCCCCCTCGCTGTGGACTCCGTGTGGGACTTGGTTGCCGCGACCCCCCTCACAATCCATGGCAGAGATCCCACTAGGACAGGCCTGCCCTGTGGTGATCTCATTACGATCTTTCCCTCGAAAGCGGGCTTTCCCCAGCTCTGTGGGTTACGCTTCTCGGTTGTGCGCCTGTGCAAGCTCCTCCTGGGGGCATCTAACCTTGTGCTCGTGGAATCGTCTCGGCTAAAACTTCGGTCTTCAAGCTTGCTGCTCTGTCAAATGGCACGCCCTGATTGCTCGAAATCATCAAGTTGATCCTGCACCTTGGCATTATCCTTCTCAAGTTGCTTAAGGCGGTTTCCCATCCGCTTTTTCACCAACTCAATGATTTCACGAGCTAAAAGGCCTTGCCCCCCTAAGGTCTTGATCCATGGGGAACATTCGCTACGAGGCATGCTCGCCTCCTTCTAACTAGCTTAAGGAGTTTGACTCAGTGATTGCTGGGAGTCGGGTAACTCATGCGTAAGCTCACCTCTATCACCTTGGGATAGTGTGTTCACCATGATGCGATCGCTACGGGAAAAGTTCGTATGCTTTCCACAGACAGTGCCAAATTGTACGGGAGTTTTCCTACAATGAATAGAAATAGTGATCCTCTCGATGGTGAACCTAAAACAACCAAAAAAGATCAAGAAAGGGACCGGATGAACACTCGGCTTATCCCCTTCGAAGCTTAAGTCAATAGAGGTTTGAAGGCTTTAGCACGGTGTTTTCGTTTTCTCAGTTTAGTTCGCGTAAGTTTATTTTTGTTTCAGAGGGATATTTATACATGTACCAGTAATGAGGCAAAGGTCTTGAGTCCCATCACGATATTTAGTGGTTTGCACTCTTCTCCACGTGTAATGAGTATTCTCCACTTAAATCCTCGAGGGTATAATGCTCGGGTGATAGGACAAATGCTCGGGGGCACGCTGAGCACTTATAGCTATCCCCGGGCATTCAAGTTCCTCTAATCGGCACCTGACGCCTATTTCCAAATGTTTAACGCTCGGGGTATATTGCCTCTGGATTTATCGAGGACATATGGTCGGCGCAACGACCATTAATACTTTGCAATTATAACTGTCAGTTTAGGGTCTTGAGGATGCAGAAGCTCATTAATAGCCTTGTCATAGTCACTTAAGTCCTCATTAATGAGCTGTCTTATCCCCTTAAATGTTGATCCCAACTTGTTCATTCGGCCTTTTCAAGTAATAACTCCTCGGTGTCATTTCCTGGCACCTTTTGAGTTCCGTAACGGCTATGGCAATCCACGTGTTAGTTTGGGGGTTGCTGAGCCGCCTAAAGTTTCGTCAGTACTTTTAAAAAAAAGTAGTGTTTGGAATTGCCCCACCACCATCATGTTGCCACCCACCACCACTTCTACCAGAAGAACCACCCCCACCCCATCGCTGTCACCACCCCACCACCCCAACCCCTATCGTCCCATTACCATCACCACCACTACCACCACAATCCTCACTGTCGCCACTCCACCATCACATCTGTCACAACCACCACCACACCACCATCACTATCACCACTGCCACTGCTACCAATATCCCACCACCCCCACCGCTCCATCACCACCACCACCACCACCACCACTACCATCACCATTATTGCCGGTCCACCATCATTGCCACTGCCGCCACCCCACCACCATCTCTACCAAAACCACCTCACCACCACTGCTATCGCCCCACCACCACCTTTATCACCACTTATGCCACAATAGCCACCACCCTTATCATCACAACAACCACCACCACCCCCCACTGTTGTTGTCACCCCATCACCACCACTATCGCCACCCAACCATTCCCATTGTCCCATTACCACCATAGCCATTACCACTACAATCGTCATTGTCGCCACTCCACCACCACCACCACCACCTATGCCACTACAACCACTGCTGCCGCCACCCTACCACCATCGCCACCATTCTACCACCCCTATCACTCCACCACTACCATCACATTACTACCACCATTACCACCGCCGTCACCGCACCATCATATTTGCTACAACCATCTCCACGACCACTGTCATCGCCCTACCACCATCACCATTACGACCATCTCTGTCACCCCACTACCACCCCTACCACAACAACCACCACCATTGCCACCGTCACCACCCACCACCGATTGATACCATCATCGCCTATTGTCAATATCCACCACCACCATCATTTTATTCTTATATTTATTACCACTAACACCATCACCCTACCACCATCTTTGCCCCCTGCCACCATCATTGTCCACTACCATCCACTAGCATAACCCACCATCGCCTGTCGTTGGCCACTATCGTCATCGCCCTCACTATACCTACCACCATCAACCATCATCGCCCACCACCGTCGCCATCCATTGTCACCCATCCTTATCATACATACCACCATCACTGTCATTTGCCACCACTCACCACCACTGTTGTCCATAAGCACCCGTTGTTGCCCATCACTACCATTGTCATCGCCCATTACCACACACCCATCACCACCACCACCATAGTCGTCACTCCACCACCACCACTGCCAACCACCATCACCGTCGCCCACCACCATGCACACCCACCACCATTGCCACCGCTTACCCCCATTGCAATCAGTGTTTAAATTATTTTCTCTCTTCTCTATATTTGTAATTTAATTTTGTGTGTGAATATAAATATGTTTATGATTGATAATTTTTTTTTATTATATTGCGCCTTTAAACACTAGTAATAACTAATAGTCTATAAAGTTACAACAAGACTATTTCAGTACAAGAAAATGACATCAGTAAAATTATACTTTAGTTCCAATATTATCTCTTTATAAATTTTTTTGATATGGCAGATTTTGATTGAATAATGAAGTGAGTGCAAGAGAGAAAATGTGTACTCTGTGTGCGTGCGTGCGCAGATAATGACCTAAATACTTAAGATGAACCCGTAATTATTTAGCTTAAGGGGATTAAAGTTAAATAAATTGGAAGCAATTTGTGTACGACTCTTATGCATACTTCAAAGAAAATTTTTTCTAAATTTATTTTGTGTTTTGAAAGACATAGATTAAGCCATTATTGGACCCTTCCACCACTACTTTGACTGCCCCACAGAGAATGCTTGAGTTGCTATCTCGATTGGAAACAAGATCTTGTAGCCAAACAATTTGGCGTGGACCATCCGAGAGGTTTGTTCCACGGATAGTTTCTTCTCCTACCATTGAAACAAGGGCTGATCTTTCTGGAGTTGAAACTCAAGTTAGGAAGCTAGTTGAGGACTTGAAGAGCTCTTCCCTTGATGAACAAAGAAATGCCACTGGTGAACTCTGGTAACTTGCCAAGCATAACATGGATAACAGAATTGTAATTGCAATTGTGGGGCCATCAGCTTGTTGGTTAATCTTCTTCAATCACCGGACACAAAAATACAGAAAAATGCCATTACTACACTTCTCAAATTATCAATAAATGATAACAACAAGGCAACAATTGCCAATGTTGATGCAATTGAACCCCTTATTCATGTCCTCGAGACAGGGAGCCCTGAAGCTAAGGAGAACTCTTTTACCACTCTTTTTAGCTTATCGGTGATTGAGGATAACCAGGTCAGGATTGGGAGGGCAGGGGCAATTCAACCTACGATAGATTTACTTGGAAATGGAACTCCTAGGGGACAGAAAGATGCAGCTATGACTTTGATTAACTTTTCAATATTTCATGAAAACAAGGCTCGTATAGTGCAGGCTGGTGCTGTGAAGTACTCCATCCCGTTCCTAAATATCTGTCGTTTTACATAATTTTTTTTATTTCATAATATCTGTTGTTTAATGAAATCAAAGCATAATTAATATTTTTTCTTCCAAATTTACCCTTAACTTTTCAATGCAATAGATTAGGTGGATGCTAAATGTCTTTCATATTCCTTTCCTTCCCAATACATATTGAATAAGAGTATTTTAGTCTTGTGCAATTATTTTTTACTCATATTAGAGCTATTTAATAGTTTCTTTAATTCCTGTGCAAAAACCTTAGACGACAAATATTTAGGAATGGAGGGAGTACCTTGTAGAGTTGATGGACCTTATTGTTGGGATGGTTGATGAGGCAATTAATGTTTTGTCGAATCTTGCTACTATAAATGAGGGAAGGGCATTGGTCAGGAGGGAGGGATTCCTGTATTGGTTGAGGTTTCGAGTTGGGTTTGCAAGAGGTAAGGAGAATGCAGTTGCTGCTCTCCTACAACTATGCAATAGATTCTGTAATATGGTTCTCCAGGAGGGAGTTGTTCCACTATTAGTGGCATTGTCACAGTCCGGCACACCAATAGCCAAAGAGAAGGTGTAGTGCTAATGACTTTGTGCTTTCTCTCTCTTTCTTTTGTTCTTTAGTTATATGTCATATGCGTTGGGGTTAGAACTAATATTATGTGTCTTTGGATGCTTGCAGGCTCGGGCACTTCTAGCTATTTCAGAAACCAAAGGCATGGTAATGCTGGGAGGGGTTGACTTTGATGAAATGACATTTGGCCGTGCAATATTGTGAATTCAGATATATGTACTGTGTAAATCATATCTTGCGAATAATGCATATGAAAATCCTAGTTTTTGGATGTTTCTGGAATCGTGATAATGAACTGAGGAAAGAATTGATTTATTTAGGGTAAATGAGTCCACTCAAGAATAACTTCATTTTAGAATGTGAAAATCGTTTCTATACCTGTAAGTTTTGGTTTTTTGCCTTTTCGATGGGAGTTGGACCAAGACTGTGGGAGATGAATAATTTTCCTTTGAATATTTCTTTTTCAGTTCATGCCTTGAGGCTTATTTATTTATGATGATACCCAAAAATTGGTTAAGGATGGGCTCAGGCACTTAGCTCAGTAATCTGGATTCAAACCACGCTGCTCATGATGAACAATAAGTGGTGTTCAAGTTAGGGACCTCCAGCAAACAAGAATCTCATGGGCATGACAAGGATGACAGCTGGTTCTCACCAGAAGGCTGTGTATAAATCGCAACGGTCCAACATTTAGGCAAGAGAGTCGTAACCATCTCAATATCATCTACAGTGAATACACAAAAGATGCATCCGTTACAAGGGAATGACAAGAATTACGCCTGGAAATCAGGTAAGGCATTTGAAGGCTATAAATAAGAGGCATACCCCTCACAACAAAAACCAAGCAATAATCTGTACGAATACTCTGTGTAATCTATCCCCTTTATTAATAGAAACTCCCACAGAGCAAGAGAATCCTTTAAAAATGGATTAACCGAACTCTCGAGCTGGTGAGCCACTATAATTTACTTGTTTGCGACTCNCTCTGTGTAATCTATCCCCTTTATTAATAGAAACTCCCACAGAGCAAGAGAATCCTCTAAAAATGGATTAACTGAACTCTCGAGCTGGTGAGCCACTATAATTTACTTGTTTGCGACCCTGCGACCCCCAAACCACACATCATTCAATCTTCAAGAGCTTAGGATCTTTGATTGATTGGGCTTTCCAGTGATTTCCAATTCCCTAAAGACCACAACTCTGCTCGGTTGGATGACACACACCATCAGTTTCTCTATTTTCTTTTTTATGTACATATTTACTCGTGTTTTGGAGATTCTTTCATCATGTGAATGATTGCCTGTAAAATATATCACCCGACTAAATAGATTTTGAATGTCATTTTTTCTTGGTTGGAGCAGCAATGTTGCAGTGTTGGGTGCATCATCATAACACAGCAAAGATGATTCATAGTAATACTTCCAAGTTGGCTACAATTCTTGTAGAGTTGTAATCAGTAGCATCAGTCAAATCTTTTGCCAGTTTGCATGCCCCAGGTTTGTTTAGGGTTATAAATGTCTCTGCCAAGTTCAAGGTTAGGCTCTTTTATCTGGCCACATGATAGGGAGATTCAAATAAGACATGGTGATTCCACTGCTGCAACCACTGTTTTAATCCAAGACCTGTACCTCCCTCGTGATTGAAGTTTGTGATTGCTTTGCTTGGATATCCATTGTTACAGGGTCATTTACCNAATTCAACCTACGATAGATTTACTTGGAAATGGAACTCCTAGGGGACAGAAAGATGAAGCTATGCCTTTGATTAACTTTTCAATATTTCATGAAAACAAGGCTCGTATAGTGCAGGCTGGTGCCGTGAAGTACTCCATCCCGTTCTTAAATATCTGTCGTTTTACATAATTTTTTTTATTTCATAATATCTGTTGTTTAATGAAATCAAAACATAATTAATATTTTTTCTTTCAAATTTACCCTTAACTTTTCAATGCAATAGATTAGGTGGATGCTAAGTGCTTTTCATATTCCTTTCCTTCCCAATACATATTGAATAAGAGTATTTTAGTCTTGTGCAATTATTTTTTACTCATATTAGAGCTATTTAATAGTTTCTTTAATCCCTGTGCAAAAATCTTAGACGACAGATATTTAGGAACGGAGGGAGTACCTTGTAGAGTTGATGGACCTTACTGCTGGGATGGTTGATAAGGCAATTAATGTTTTGTCGAATCTTGCTACTATAAATGAGGGAAGGGCATTGGTCAGGAGGGAGGGATTCCTGTATTGGTTGAGGTTTCGAGTTGGGTTTGCAAGAGGTAAGGAGAATGCAGTTGCTGCTCTCCTACAACTATGCAATAGATTCTGTAATATGGTTCTCCAGGAGGGAGTTGTTCCACTATTAGTGGCATTGTCACAGTCCGGCACACCAATAGCCAAAGAGAAGGTGTAGTGCTAATGACTTTGTGCTTTCTCTCTCTTTCTTTTGTTCTTTAGTTATATGTCATATGCGTTGGGGTTAGAACTAATATTATGTGTCTTTGGATGCTTGCAGGCTCGGGCACTTCTAGCTATTTCAGAAACCAAAGGCATGGTAATGCTGGGAGGGGTTGACTTTGATGAAATGACATTTGGCCGTGCAATATTGTGAATTCAGATATATGTACTGTGTAAATCATATCTTGCGAATAATGCATATGAAAATCCTAGTTTTTGGATGTTTCTGGAATCGTGATAATGAACTGAGGAAAGAATTGATTTATTTAGGGTAAATGAGTCCACTCAAGAATAACTTCATTTTAGAATGTGAAAATCGTTTCTATACCTGTAAGTTTTGGTTTTTTGCCTTTTCGATGGGAGTTGGACCAAGACTGTGGGAGATGAATAATTTTCCTTTGAATATTTCTTTTTCAGTTCATGCCTTGAGGCTTATTTATTTATGATGATACCCAAAAATTGGTTAAGGATGGGCTCAGGCACTTAGCTCAGTAATCTGGATTCAAACCACGCTGCTCATGATGAACAATAAGTGGTGTTCAAGTTAGGGACCTCCAGCAAACAAGAATCTCATGGGCATGACAAGGATGACAGCTGGTTCTCACCAGAAGGCTGTGTATAAATCGCAACGGTCCAACATTTAGGCAAGAGAGTCGTAACCATCTCAACATCATCTACAGTGAATACGCAAAAGATGCATCCGTTACAAGGGAATGACAAGAATTACGCCTGGAAATCAGGTAAGGCATTTGAAGGCTATAAATAAGAGGCATACCCCTCACAACAAAAACCAAGCAATAATCTGTACGAATACTCTGTGTAATCTATCCCCTTTATTAATAGAAACTCCCACAGAGCAAGAGAATCCTTTAAAAATGGATTAACCGAACTCTCGAGCTGGTGAGCCACTATAATTTACTTGTTTGCGACCCTGCGACCCCCAAACCACACATCATTCAATCTTCAAGAGCTTAGGATCTTTGATTGATTGGGCTTTCCAGTGATTTCCAATTCCCTAAAGACCACAACTCTGCTCGGTTGGATGACACACACCATCAGTTTCTCTATTTTCTTTTTTATGTACATATTTACTCGTGTTTTGGAGATTCTTTCATCATGTGAATGATTGCCTGTAAAATATATCACCCGACTAAATAGATTTTGAATGTCATTTTTTCTTGGTTGGAGCAGCAATGTTGCAGTGTTGGGTGCATCATCATAACACAGCAAAGATGATTCATAGTAATACTTCCAAGTTGGCTACAATTCTTGTAGAGTTGTAATCAGTAGCATCAGTCAAATATTTTGCCAGTTTGCATGCCCCAGGTTTGTTTAGGGTTATAAATGTCTCTGCCAAGTTCAAGGTTAGGCTCTTTTATCTGGCCACATGATAGGGAGATTCAAATAAGACATGGTGATTCCATTGCTGCAACCACTGTTTTAATCCAAGACCTGTACCTCCCTCGTGATTGAAGTTTGTGATTGCTTTGCTTGGATATCCATTGTTACAGGGTCATTTACCAAAGTTGCTTTGATGCTACAATTTGCATGTTCTTTCTCTCTCTCTCTCTCTCTCATGATCTTTTTAGGGTACAACTGTGCTTTTGTTGAGTATACAAAATCTCCCCTTATAGCGAGATCTGAGAGAGCTGAGGGACAAGTGACCTTATTCTTACTTTTTTGAGGCATAACTCGTAATACATTGTGTAGGCAAATGTGTATTTATCGCCAGTTTAGATCCGACCTCTTTAAGTTATTATATCATATAAGTCTATCACCACCTGTAGTGACCATCTCTATGTGTGTCCATGTTTTCTGACCCATTTGTCTAATTTGAAGCTAGTCATGTGAATGAAGACTATCAAGGTTAGAAGTGAGATAAAAATATATATAAAAAAAAACCATGCTCACCTCTAATTGGAGACTATATTTATTATTGCGTGTAAATTAACAATGAGTTCTAATATTTCAATTTGTTACTATTCTATATAGGGACAACATAGCATTTTCCTAATCAAATTAGACTATCATTGGGTCAAATTAGGATTATAGCAGGGTGAATGCACTTTATTTGCGGTTACAGTAACTTTTAGGATAAATTACATTTTAACCCTCTAAATTATAGAATCAATTTTACTTTGTCACTTGAGCTATTGAATTTTTTACATTACCCTCAACTACTCAAATTATTCTACATTACTATAATCGTAAATGCTCAATACCTATTTGGATGAATATTGTCGATGTGTCGAGACAAAGTGAAAAATATTATATAGTTTGAAGGACAAAATAATTTGTTTTTGTTAAATATATAACAAAAATTAATAATTGAGGTAATGTTAAATAAATCACATAATTAAGGGTGTAATATGAAAAATCTGATTAAGGAAAAAATGTGAAAAAAGGGTCATTGTCTCGAAGTGTAATTTACCTAACTTTTATTACTCCGATTCCAAATGATCATACCACGCCTACCAGATGAGATAGATAATTCTTCCAACCACATTTTTTAATGTATGAGTTTACAAGTTGCCCTTTATTCAATTATCAAATTAATCAACGTGGTAGTTAGAAAAAAAATACATAATTATATAAAAACTTGAATAGCACGACAAAAGACCAGTGTAGGTAATACAAATAATCAACACGATAACACTTTCCGGACAATGACTCCGACTTATTTCACCGTTATCAAAACAAACACAATGTTTGCTTGACAACAATAATCAGAATTAGAATCTACTTATGCAGCTTTGGTTTTGCATATTAGAAGTACTTTTCTTTTCTTATTCAACTCGAAAACGAAGAAAAGTACTTCCAGACAACCAAGCAAAGCCACAAAACAATGACTAAACTAAACTGACCAGAGACAAAGAAAGAGGCAAAGGGTTGGGTATATTGTTTTAAGGGCACTTGGATGTGCCCTTGCTGTTCAACATGTCTCTGTAGCAAGGGCACTCCGACTTGTTTCCATATGTCCCTGACGGCACACAGTCACACTTTTTGCAGCATATCCCACAATCTTGCAAGCAACGTTTCTTTTCTTTTGCTTCGCTACACCTCACACCACACCTCGTACCGCAAGTACCTTCCAGTCAAATCGGTAAAACACAACAAACCAATCCAGTTCAGTTCAGTTCAGTTCAGTGCGTGTGCGTGTGTGTGTGTGTGTGTGTGAGAGAGAGAGAGAGAGAGAGAGAGAGAGAGAGAGAGTAAATAAAAGCAGTGGTCAGTGAAGGATCTTACTTATGTCAGCCACGGTAGGTTGAAGGAGAGAGGAGCACAAAACCAGCGAAACAATAAGCAAAGTTGAAAAGACGAGCTTCATTTTCTATTGCCGGTAAATGTAAGCTAGAAAGCAAATTTGATATGGAGTGACCTGCTTGAATGGGCTAAAGCACAAGACAAATAGATGCTGTGATGGCTTTGTGGAACTCTTAAGGATCGGAGGGTATTTATACTGGTCTAGTGAGAGAGAGAGAGAGGAGAGAGAGAGTGGTGATTCATCTGCCATAAAGCAGTAATATTCAAATGGGAAAGGTTTATCTCGGGAAGTAAAGTAGAGAAGCTTCATACAACCTTCTCTACAAGCTTCATATAATATAGAAGAACGTACCACTTCATACAGCCTGTAATTTTTTTTTTTTTTTTTTTTTATTAATGCAACAAAATTTAAATAAAATTTAAAAAATTGTAACGTAAATGTATATTATTTTTCTGATGAGTGAGTTTTATCAACTTTTTCAATAGAATCCACTCATTTAAGAGATAATATGAATTTGAGTTACACTTTTTTAGTTTCATTTGAATTTTATAGTTTTTTTTGGGGTAGGTTGGTAACGATGTGAATGGAGATTTTTTGGTCTNTTTTTTTTTTTTTTTTTTTTTATTAATGCAACAAAATTTAAATAAAATTTAAAAAATTGTAACGTAAATGTATATTATTTTTCTGATGAGTAAGTTTTATCAACTTTTTCAATAGAATCCACTCATTTAAGAGATAATATGAATTTGAGTTACACTTTTTTAGTTTCATTTGAATTTTGTAGTTTTTTTTGGGGTAGGTTGGTAATGATGTGAATGGAGATTTTTTGGTCTTGTTGACCCGTTAGATTACAATCTAAGGAGGTCTTAGTTGTAGAGAAGGTTACATGCAGGTGCAGCGTCTGATTCAAATATTTTCTTTACTAAATTTCAGAAACTTTTTTGGCCCATGTCAACTCTTAAAGTGCAGGTGTTTACCTATTTAATGTTGAGCCTTTCTCAACTATGCTGGTGTATAACGCATTCTCCGAAGATTACAGGCTGTGTGGCATCGTCCAAAGCACCCTACTTGCATTCATTTTAGGATAAGCAATGCACAAAGTAGAGAAGTTGGAGGTGCTGTCTGGTACACTAGTTTTGGCCTATTGAGTGATTGTTAATATATGTTAGATGAAACTCACTTTCAATTCAGTTATTGTATTAAGTTATGTCCCCAAATTAGATCCCTAGATTAGGTAAATATGTAACAGTTGTATGTATTAGGTTGGGAAAGGAATAAGTGAGGGCGAGACTTGAATCCGAGTTGTTAACCTAGTAGCGTTCCATACCAATGGGGACATAGCCTTGGCCTTTACTTTTTTTTTTTGTTTTTTGACAATAGTTGAATTTGAGCATTGATTGCGAAGCAAGTGTAAAGAAAAATAAACTAGTGAACAAGCCTCCGACCCATCTTGCGCTTGCATATATCCAATGACATAGAGTAATCAATCAGTATGAACATCAAATTCCTTATTAAAATTTGAAAACTGATTGATTGAGACTCACATAAAACACTCATATGCATGTTTGAAGGCTTTATCCTGTTCCGTTGTCCAACTGTTATACCTTCTTCAAGAGTTTCATTTTGGGATTCCACATTTCGAAAAATCATTAATGATGAGTTTGTAATAATCCTATGTGTGAGTTGTAGAAAACTTGGCGAGCAACCAANTGTTCCGTTGTCCAACTGTTATACCTTCTTCAAGAGTTTCATTTTGGGATTCCACACTTCGAAAAATCATTAATGATGAGTTTGTAATAATCCTATGTGTGAGTTGTAGAAAACTTGGCGAGCAACCTAACTATTTGATCATGTGAATGAGTGCCAGCAAAATATATTATCGGACCAAA